GGGGGACTCAAGGGAGGATACCGGTTACTATCTGCTAGCGCATTTATTATGAAATGTTGCTTGGAACCAGTACGGAATTGAATGGATAATGGAGGGTACAGTAAACGCTCCATAGCTGGAAAATCAGAACGACAAGAAGGAAGAAATAAAGCATGGGACGTGCCCCTATTGCACCCCTTGTAATCAATCTGCAAAGAAAGAAATCGATGGGTATTGAAGTGATTTGAGTTACATTTGCAAAGTTCCATTTTTGTCTTCTAAACTTTTGGAGCACCCATGAGATTCCAATTGGTATACCTGTTGGATGCTCCTGGTAGAGAAACATACTTCTGTTTGAGATTTTTCACTTTTCGTATGCACCTTGTACAAGGGATTTCCCCCGTATTACATCACTAAAACCATTATTTTTTCGAGAAAAAAAAATGATTGCATGACGTACTTAAGTTGTTCTGAAAGTCATCAGTAACAAAGTTTCTGAGTTAGTTATGTTAATTTTAGCACTTCTAATTACTTTGACCAAAATTTTCTTTTATTTGCCCATGTTTAATGTTAACACACATTGGCAACATTTAGAGAGCTTATATTAGAAATACTGAGTTACCACAAAAGTTCTCCCCCATCATCACAAAGAGCACAAACATGATCAAATTGTTCATCTTCATCTTCATCTTCATCTGAATCATCATTGGTACCACTATCAGCATCGTTATTGGTCTCAATAACAAAGTGGGGTCTCTTTTTTGCTCGATTGCACTGCTAGACAAACCACAATTAAGAACTGAAAATTCTTAATGAAGAATAAAATGAGATAACATATAAATTGCATCTAACCTCATTATCGTCTATCCTCTTTTGTGATGTCTCCAAAAGAAATGCATTCAAATTCTGTTTCAAAATGTAAATATCAATACAGGATAATGCCAGAAATGTTAACGTATATACAGTTAAAAAGCAGAAGCGAGTGATAGCACAACAAGGTAAGACTCCATTTTAGCAACTAAAAGAACTAGTTCTCCACAAAGGACAAGATGCAGTAGCCCACATAAGTTGCAAAAGCAAATAAATGACAGACCCCTAGCGACACATCGAATAAGGATCAGACTACCCATGCTACACTGAAATATATCTTCAGCCTTAAACATATAGGTCTCTGATATGGCACTGATATTAGCTAATCTGACCTTAAACTTCTCGGCTGAGTTTAATGATGGTCTCTCTCAATGACATGTGAACAACTTAGGAACTAAAGTTAGAAGAACAGTAAGGACCTCAAGCATTTAAACACATGCTCAACTAAGCATATAATGCTGGTCATACAGAAAAGAGATATACTTAACTCCATTCAACAACCTATGCAGTATGCACCAAGAGAATTAGGTAACCTTGGAACTAGATAATTATACCAATAATAAAAGAATCACAACCTTGGAACTAGATATATCTTTATCCCTCCTTGCAGCTTCTTTGATTGTTGGCATATGCTCTAGCAGATCATCTTTACAAGGTAGTACCTCGTATGCACTAAAAGAACTGATTTAGTGAATTCCATTATAACTAAAACTGACAACAAAATATTTAGGGGGTGTATGGCATGGATTTTCCCGTGTTTGGTTGATCAAAATGTTTTGGAAATATTTTCTCTAGAAAAAACAAGTTCCTTAAAAATCAAGAAAATGACTTCCCTAGTGGGAGTCGGGAAACGAGTTCCATAAGTGAAACTGATTATCTCCTCCGCACCCCCAACACCCCACCCCGAATCCCGACCCCCCTGACCCACTAACCAGGTCCACCCTCTCATTCCCACCCCCTGCCCTACCCTCGACCTCCACCCTCCCCGACCACCCCACCCCATGTATTTGCCTATATTCTATATAACTGCTTTTAGGATAAATTTTTTGTGCTTACTTGCAAATAACCAAAAAAAGGTAAAAAATCATTTATTTTTTAGGAAAATATTTTTCCTTCATACCAAACACACCCTTAAAGGATTTAGGAGTAACATTTCAGTACCTAAAACTTTTCCCAATGTGATTCCACACAATCTCTCCAAATGTTTCTGGATTCTTCTTCACAAAGTGGAGGAAATGAACGGTGATGAGTATTGTTCTAATAGTATCTACGTAACTTTTTCGAGGTTTAAGGAGTTTAATCCAAATTTTATCTTTGGAAAGCACATGAATTTCAGGCAGGGCATAAGAAAGTTCAAATCTCCAAGCTAGAACCTTCTTATAAATGTGCTGAAGACCATCATCTGCAGTTCCACGCAAATATATCTCCACATTATTATTCACTGCCCCTCCAATTACATCATCATCATCCCCCCACTGTAGAGGCAAAATGGAAAATGAAACAGGTTCTCCATTGCAGCCAACGAAATGGTAATTTGTTATACAGTTTGGAACAATTTCACCCTCTTCGTCAGATGATGCCATCAACAATAATTTTTTGCAAGTGTCGCCCTATTTGCCATAGTTAACAAAAGTTTGCATCAATAAAAGGGGGAAAATGAAGATTCTAGTAAAATTTTCAATATATCGCCAGAATTTGAAACTGAGTGACAGACCTATGAACAGTAGGTGAACACAGGTAAGAGAGCATTTGTAGTAAAAAGAAAAAGTATCAAAACACAAGTCAATTCCAAACCTACACTATGCAAGCTCTATTTTTTCAAAAACCCAAAAGCCATTTTTTGAGTGAGATTTTTTTTTCCCAGTGAGAAGTCAAAAACGCAAAAGCTATTAAGCGCCAAAATCCTAACCATTATACTTTTTTTCAAAAGTTTTGTGCCAAAAATTCATTCACATGTATCAGCCACTGTAAACCAAAACCCAGTCTATAACAGAAACCCGCTTCACAAACAAAAAAATGAAATATATACTGAACAATAAAAAAGTAAGAAAATACACTGATCACTTGAAGAAAAGAGAAAACAAAAAGAAAAGAGAGAGAATATGATATAACAACTGTGCTTCTACGATATAAGTAACATTTTAAGAAGAAGAAGAAGAAGGGAAAGCACAATACCTCCCTAAAGTGGGTAACCTTTTTTGTTCAACTTCTGAAGAGAAATGAGACAACAAATTACAAGGAAATAGAGAGAGAAACGAGAGAGGAAACACAAAGGAAATATGCTTCTGCTCTGCAAAAAAGGTTTTTTGTTGGTTTGATCAATGGTGAGAGAGGAGACTTGAGTTTTGGCGTGAGTTGAAAACCGTACTCTGTACGTGAGTAGAGTGTATAGCTGGAGACTTTCACAGAATTGGCAGTTGCTTTTTCGCAGAAGTTGTAATAATTTCAGGGAGGTATTTTAGTAAAAATTGTCCTCTATGTTTGAGAAAAGATTTAATATCGTCCTCTATATATAATTGTGAGCATTTTGCATCCCCTAGTTTACAAATACTGAGCAGATTTAGTCTAGCTAACGGAATAAGATGTTGATCCTTCAAACTAACGGCATAGTTACGTGGCTTGCACATGACATCGGAAAAGGAACACCCAACTCTTCTTCCCCCACCGTTACATTTCATCGTTATTCGCTTTGAGGTTTTTCTTTTTATCCTTTCTTTTCATTCTTTTGTATCTTCTTTGAACAGTCTAAATATAAGGTTTTTTACAATATTGGTGTTTGACCAAAAAGTTTTAAGCCCTTTTTATTAAACCAATTTAATAAATAGATAAGGGATGAATCCAAATTAGAAGTAATAAACTCCGCATCCGAAGTTCAACAACTAGGATGGTATGGGACCGTGTTCAGGTCAATGAATGCCGAGGTAATGCTCAATGACTATTAATAAATATGAGAATGAAAACATGCAATAAATGTGACAAATGATATTTAATGTAATAAGAAGGAATTTGTCACCCAAATGTTGGATGAGATGGATGATTCCTTCCTCTGACTATAACGTGTGACAGCAAACAATGGAAGTGAATAATGTGTTCTTGGATCTTGTGAACTAAAGAGGAATGTTTTGTCATGGAATCAAACAGAGGAGACAAGACAAGCTTTTGTATATTCTTTATGGTCAACTCTTTACTAGATGTTCTTTTATCAAAAGTCGAGGAGGTTTTTCGGTCCCTCTCTCCTCTTATTTATAAGGGATATTCCTAAAAAACCATAAAAAGTACAATTGGGGGATGGAATATTCCTATTCATAATCCTAGGAATATTCTAACCATGTTGCTATTTGTTCTCTACTCGACCTCAGCGTTGGTCTCTCTCTGGGCGACTCCTCGCCACTGGACCGTGCTTGGTTTCGACCTCGGCCTTCGCTCGTCCGTTTGCATTCACTAAACTCGACCTAATTTTGACCCATACAGTTAGTCCCTCCGCTTATTGAGGTCTTTCTCTGAGAGTCCTCAATGAGCGGACTTTATCTGCATCTAATCACAAAATACTCCGCCGTGGTGAATCGAGCTCAATTGGTCGATATCGAATTGAAGACTGATCGGCTCAAAGGCTGTGGTTGGCGTGGTTAACATAGGATGATGTCATGGCCATGCGCGTCATCATTACGCATCTTCCCGATGCAATGCATGGTTTCCAGTACCTCTATTGCTTCGATTTTGGTGTCAGTGGCAGCTTCTTGCATCGATTTGGGCGCCCCAATATCTTATAAATAGAGGAAGGGAGATTCAGAAATGAAACTTTTCGCACTTCATATCCCATTTACACCTTGCTTGTTCTTCTACTTCTTCTCTAACCCTTATCTCTGATTTCCTTCTGTTTTTCAGCACTAGCTTCCAGTTTCTTTTCTTGTTGATACTCTCCTTCCAGCTCTACTCTATACACATTGCTGCAAAAATGACAAACTCTCCTCACATTTCCGACATAGTCTCCGATGCCACCCCTTTGTCGGTAGCCATGCCCTCCGGTAGCGGTGAACCCACGGTTGCGTAAGACGAAAGTTTTCCCACCGTGGAGGAGATTGTTCCTCGGAACACGTTGGTCAGAAATGATTTCCCAAAAGAACCTGCCCCTTCTCCTGAGCAGGTACTATCAGTCATGAGGTTGAAACAAAAAATCTGACATGTGGTCTAAATTCCGTATCCCTGCTCACGTCGATATTGTTCCGGCGGGGAACGACGCAGTACAAGTTCACCGGTCCGGGTATTGCGCTTTCTACGCCTATCCATTTTTAGTGGGTTACTCTCTTCCTCTTCCCCCACTCGCTGAGGAGTTCTGCCGCTTTTATAGCGTCTGCCCGGCACAACTTTCCCCTTACCTATATAAAGCCTTTTTTATGCTAGCGAAGTTCGCAGAGTTGGCCGGCTGCGAAGTCTCCATTCGTCATCTGCTACATCTCTTCTCGCCTAGTTTCTACATAGGCACGCTGATTCATCTCCGCCACCGTGGGACCAAAGGATTAGTGGCGGGGATGGATGACAAGGCGAACCGCCGATTTTGGTGCAATTACTTCTTCGTCAGGACCGAGCACGTAGTGGTGGACCCAGCCGGGTTCCCTGAGCAATGGAACTTCAATCGTAAGGGCCTTTTACCGTTCATCATATATTTTGTTTATCCCTCCTCTTTTTATCTCTGGCTTGCTTATGTCTTTCTACTTTCAGATGGTAAGTGTCCACCTCCCTTGGTTCCTGATATCGTAGACTGGGTAACTCGCGTCTTACCTCATACTGTGGGGATTCGCGACTGGGCATCCTTTGACAAGCGGTTCGGGCCCAAGCCTTCGACTAGTGATTCTGATTCTCATTTCCATGACCCTTTCGTTTTCGTTATAGCTTACCACCGTTTTGTCATCTTTTCTTTTGACATGATTTTCTTTTTGCGCCAGGTCGGCGAGTTTCCAAGAAGGCGAAGGCTCCAGTGCCCACATTCTGCCAAGCGGTCGCTTCGGCTGGAATGCAATTCGTACTGGCTAAGTCTGTACGAGAAGGTCAAGCTCTAGCTCCGCCGTTGGGTGATTCTGCCCCACATGTAGCTGTTACGTCGGCTGAGACCTCTGATCACCGCGTCCTGCACCTGATGGACGAGTCATCTCATGATGAGGAGGAGGCGATACCGAGGAAAAGGCATAGGGTGGAGACTGGAAGGGTCGGTGTTGCTGAAACCGAGTCGGAAAGGCCTATTGATTTGGATGCGGAGTTGGCGCCCTTACTGGGCATTGAGGCTGCTCCCACACCGGCTATCGTCACGAAGGAAAGTCCGTCAGAGGTTGAAGGGACCTACGACAGAAGGGAACCTGCACGAATAGCCGGGGTAGACTCATTATCAGCGGATGGAAGGGATAAAACCGTCCTCGTAGAAGATGATGGGTCGGGCTCCTATGTCGACCCCGAGGAGGTGTGGGCTTTTGAGGAGAGGTTCACCCGAGTGGAGATAAGGACGGAAGGGCCTGTTCAGCACATAGTCATCCCGTAGATTATGACCTCTTGGACAACTCGGAATAGGCGGTGTCGGCCTTTGCTCCTCTGTGCGCGGATTCTGAGAACAGGACGCTGCAGACACTGAGGGATGCGGATTTGTCGTTGGGTATATCTGGCATGGCCTTGCGGGTAAGTTTGCTTTTCCCATGTTAGGTTAGTTCATTTCGTATGTGTAATTTACTTCCGCTGACCTGTCTTCTTTTGCATGTCAGACCCTCATCATGGAGATCGAGCGTGATCGGCGGGAAAAGCGAAGGACGGCCCTCTTCAAGAAGATGGTATCCAAGTACTGAGAGTACCTTTAAGCACCGATCGCTAGTCGACTTACTTAACCAGGATGGCCAGTTCCAGATGCTCCCCGATGGGCTCAAGCAGAAAGATGAGGAGTTGAGGGAGAAAGACGAGGAGCTTATGAGGGCCATAGGCAGATGCAGCGTGCTTGAGGGGGCGTTGAAGGCTAAGGAGGATGAGCTCGAGGTGAGCAAGGGAGTGACGACTGAGAATACTGACCTTCAGGCGCAGGTGGCGTCTTTAAGGGTCGAGCTCGAGCAGAGTGAAACAAAGGCCGTCAACTTGAGGGATGAGTTGAGCATCAGGGTCGAAGAGTTTGGTCGAGCTGAGAAAGTCAAAATGGCCGCTGTGGCGGAGGCAGCTTAGGGTGCGTCCTTCGTGCTTGCAGGTCTGAGCGGGTACTGAGGCAAAAACTTCGGCGCTCAAGGAGGCAAGGTTTGAGGAGCGAATTGGGGGTTTGGAGGCGGAGCTGTCTGAGCTGAATGAGCAGGTTGTCGCCCTAAGAGCCGAGAAGGTGCAACAGCAGGCCCAGCCGTCTACATCTCATACTTCTGCCAATCCCGATGTGTCATGGGAGTTGTATGAAATTTGGGTTCATGCTGAGGCCCAACCTGATATATACAGGTCTCTGAAGACGGCTGGGAAGATTTCCGAGGCGGAACTTGAGGATGTTCGTGTCAAGGCACGTGCAACTCGTAACGCCTGTGGTTATGATCCTGGTACGCCCAGCGGGTATGATGATGGAGACGCCTTAGATGGGCTTGCCTCCGACCCTTGGTATGACGACGAGTATGCTGGTGACGTCGGTGATGATGCGGCGTGAAGTCTTTATACTTGTTTTTTTTTGTTTTTGTGTTTTGCTGTTCTCTTTTGGTGGGGGAGTCTTTCAAGCCCTTTGTAAAATGTATTGGAATGGAAATGATTGAAATGGAACAGTTGTCTTTTGCTGTGTATTTCCAGCTCTTCATTTTTTTTGTGAGTGTCTTCTTTTGTGAGGAAGTCCCCGACCTTCAATCGATCGAATGTAAGTTGATTTGAACGAGGTCGATTGTAAATTAATTCGAGCGAGGTCGAATGTAGATCGATTCGAACGAGGTCGAATGTATGTTAATTTGAGCGAGGTCGAATGTATGTTAATTCGAGCGAGGTCGAATGTAGATCGATTCGAACGAGGTCGAATGTACGTTAATTCGAGCGAGGTCGAATGTAGATCGATTCGAACGAGGTCGAATGTATATTAATTCGAGCGAGGTCGAATGTATATTAATTCGAGCGAGGTCTAATGTATATTAATTCGAGCAAGGTCGAATGTATATCAATTCGAGCAAGGTCGAATGTAGACTTTAGAAAATAATTCAAGTGAGATCGAATGTATATTTCCTTTGCGTTGGCGTGATTGTGTACATTTGGTGTTGTGTAAGAATGTCATACTGCTTTGTTTATTCATTGGAGAATATTACATGTTTCTGTTAGATCCATACATACATTCGAGGAGTCCCAGTCTATCTAGTCCCTTCATCGCTCGGCCTAGAGAAGTAGTCGATAGGCCGGGCGATGAACTTAATACCTAAACTCTGAGACGCCCTCTTCGTCGCCTCATTAAAAACCTCCCCGAGAAAACCCAATTGGGACAAAACTCGGGTGAGGGAAAAAGAGTACGACTTGGGGGACGTCCGTCTTTAGAAGTTGAAGTACTTGAGGTGGGTGACGTTCCAATTGTTTGGTAATAGTTTTCCCTCCATTGTTTTTAGTTGGAATGATCCTATGTTTGCTGTTGCCGTGACTTTGTATGGTCCGTCCCAATTGGTTCCCAGTTCGCCTTCCCGTGGATCTTTGCTCGCTTGTGTTTTGGCTTTGAGTACATGGTCCCCTACCTTGAGTGGTCTGACTTTGGCATTTTTGTTGTAGTACCGTTCTTCTTGCTGTTTTTGAGCTATCATTCTCACGTAGGCCATGTCTCTTCGCTCATCTGTTTCGTCGAGGTCTTGCTTTCTGCTTTCATCGTTACTTGGTCCGCTCTTGTTGGAGTATCTCAAACTTGGTTCACCGACTTCGACTGGTATCACTGCGTCAGTCCCATAGACTAGTGAATATGGCGTTTCTCCTGTGCTTGTTTTTGGCGTGGTGAGATATGCCCTTAGCACTTTCGGTAGCAGTTCTGGCCACAGTCCCTTGGCGTCCTCAAGCTTCTTCTTCATGATGTTCAGTATTGTTTTGTTGGAGGAGTCCGCCTGACCGTTGCTTGTAGGATGATATGGCGTGGAGCGTATTCACTTGATGTGCCATTTCTCGAAAAATTCGACGGTCTTTTTTCCGGTGAATTGGGGTCCGTTATCACAACTGATTTCTTTGGGGATGCCGAAGCGGCATATGATGTTTATCCATATGAATGTGATAACTTTTTGTTCGCGTATTTTGGCGAATGCACCTGCTTCTACCCACTTGGAAAAATAGTCAGTTAAAACCAAAAGAAATCGTACATTACCTAGTCCTGCTGGAAGGGGTCCACGATGTCCATCCCCCATTGGATGAACGACCAATGCGATGTGACTGAGTGTAGGTGTTCGACTGCCTGGTGGATCATTGGAGCATATTTTTGGCATTGTTCGCACTTTCTAACGAAGTCGGCGGCTTCCTTTTTCATGGTGGGCCAGTAATAGCCTGGCCGTATGAGGCATCTAACGAGGGCTCGATTACCAGTATGGGCTCCACAGTGGCCTTCGTGCACTTCTTCGAGGACGTGCCTAGTTTGGTTTGGTCCTAGGCAATTTTAGGGCGTGCCTAGCGATTACCAGTATACGCTATTTCAATATTTTTAAATATTGAACTTTAATAATCGAGTTCAAGTGAAATATTGAAATATTATTTCAAGTACATAGCAATTTCCATTAGATTATAAAATCTTCAACTTTGGCAAACTTTTTCTTTTGAAATGAAGTGTTCAAATGCCTACTTAGTTCTTGCTATTTCAAGATGTTGAAGATTTTCTATGTTGTTTGGGTCATCTTGTGTGCACCTTGACTAATTTCACGAGATATTTGTTACTTTGCACCAGCACCAATATTTGGTAACTCTGTCATCTAAGCTTGGACTGTTTTGTTGGACAGATGGGAAGAAATCATTTAGTATTTCTGCCTCCGCTGTCCACCAAAGCTTGGACTAATTTCTCAGGGTATCTACTACTTTGCACCAGCACAGGTACTTCGTAACTCATCAAAGCTTGGACAAATAGGAAGAAATCGTCTAATATTTTGCCCCTACTGGAATTTAAACTAGAGACCTCATGTTATCAATTCCCTAGCATTAAACGTAAGTATCATGCTCTTATGTATTCAATGTGATATGTTATATATCTGTTGTTCGAAAAACTCAACCTTTTAGCTCTTCAAAGTAGTAAAAGAATCAAATTCGATTCATATGAAAATAGTAATTGTCAGAGAAAGCAATTGTCAGTTTAAACCGTCTTAAGTCTCCGTCAAACCTAGAAAGGTAGAAAACAAATACTCAGACAGGTGATTAATTAGTGAGTATTTTAAGTTTATGAACTGGTCTAATTTTATCCCTTCGTAATTAAATGGTCTTACAAGTTTCCATTTTGGTTCACTTCACAAGAGAATTACAAAGAAGCATATTTGCTTTTGTTTCTTTCTAACTGAAGTGTAATTAAATCATCAAACTCCATTGAAAGACCATAAAAAGGTCATACCGCGAGTACATTACTATGGTCAATTAGAAGAATTGCATTTTCTGAACAAAATGAGAGGGAAATTTTCACATGTATTCAGATATAATAACAACATGCCCAGTGTATTCCCACAGTGTGGGTGTGGGGATGATAATGTGCACGCAGACCTTACTCCTATCTTGTATATTCAAGTGTATTCCCACAGTGTGGGTGTGGGAGGGTAATGTGCACGCAAACCTTAGTATTCCCACAGTGTGGGTGTGGGGAGGGTAATGTGCACGCAGACCTTACTCCTATCTTGTATATTCACGTGTATATTCAGATGAATGTCAAAAATACAATATCATTGCTCTTTCATTTTCTCCTGTATGGACAAAGTACACTTCACATGTTCATATACAACTCTTGAACTTTTGAATGCCAAAAAGCAGCTAACCCCAAGAAACATATTTCCAATACAAACTTATCTATACATATGTAATACCCCCCAAAAAAGGAAAACGACTGTTTTACAGGTCAAGAATTTGTTCTAGAATTTGTTCTATGAGCGAAAGCCATACAATCAATATGGCTGAGGATTTAGTATCAGTAGTTTGATATCTGCATTTCTGATATCTCTTGAACGAATGCCTATTTGTACGATATCAGCTAGTTAAACATCAAGTCCTGTTCGTTCCAACTCCAACTTAGAAGCCATGAGACTATCAGATTCCTTGGGAGAAGATAATTCAACTAATTCAGGGACTTGATCGAGCAAGCGATTGATTGCATCAGGAAACTCACCCTTGGCCCGGTTGGTCTTACCCCCAACCACCACCGATGTTCCATCTTGTAAGGCCCATAGCTTTTGAAAAGATACAATACACATAAAAAAACATGTAAAGCTAATGAGATTTGTAAAATTTACTGTCTCAAAGTTGTACATGATTTGGCAGGATTTTACCTGTGTATGAGATAAATAACTGATGCAAGTCGTTAGCATTAGAGCACCGAAACCAGCATAGACAACAGGTACTCCTGGATCAGTCTGTAAAAACATGGTTCATATGAAATGGCAATTGCAAAAAGGAAAATGAAAACAATTGGATTTCAATGTTGCTAGGAGTCATCTCGCTTACCTTTAGGTCAAGGCCACTACTTCCAATTGCATCTACAATAACAATTTTGGTTCCATCAATCTCAATTGGAAGCTTGGAATTAGGCCGTCTGACTCCTGCGAATTTTCCTTGTTTATCATAAAGAATAACTGACTGCAAATCACGTGCTAGCATTGATCTGGATTTGGAGCCACCAAAAGGACAAAAAAATCAGAATAGTTGACATAACAAGAACTCTTAAGACATAAGATAGTCAGCAAGTTGAAGATTTGTATCGTCAACTCTTACACTTTGTGCGCCCTATTAAGAAAAACAAGCAGCTCAAACACATTTATCTAGATAGTGCGGTAGTTAAATAACATACATTCCCTTAACATTGGGTGAATCACCATCTTCGACTGGTAGGAAAGTACCAAAGAGCTTCTTGTCACCCCCATTCATTTGCAGTGGTGCCATAGCCAAATTAAAAGGACCTTCGCCATCCTTCAGTACTTGTAGCGCTGATATACTCCAATCTGTTTGGTATATAGTGATTCCCCCGTACCTTAACGGATCATTAACACTTATAGTCTTCCTCATTACTTCCTTTCCGTTAAGGTCATATAGTGAAAGATCAGTATGGAACTGTGATACCTACAACACATATTAAAGACAAGGTGAAAACACAGTTGTCTCATAAGCTGATTTTGCATATCTCCTTAGTAATAAAAAGAAAGAAAAAATCTGATTTTGCATACCTCCCCACTGTCATAGTAGTCCATGGAGAATCGATTGACATGAACCTCTGTACTAAAAGCATCGGAAGGGGTGGATAGGAACCCAGATGGTGAAAGTACATCACCCACGACAAAATTTAAACCTTGTGGAACAGTCACAGCCCCTCTAAAGCTCCCCGTTGCACTAAGTGTTCCTCCGGACATTACAAGCAGCAGCGACAAATGGACGCCAATTGGAGCGAATCTACCTGCCAACCCTTTAAATGCATACAGAGCTGGCCCTTTCGAGAATACCTGGAGATACCGAGGTTGCTACAGGTTAATCTGAAAGTCATAATTGAAGCGAGCAGATCTATGATTCAGCATAACATCAATGTTCAATCTTGGAGCAAACCAAAATCCCATATTGTCCTTCCTGTTTATTGGATAACATGAAAAAACCATCGCTTTCCAAAATAGTAGGACTAATAGAAAAAAGAAGTTGCACTCTGTCTTAACCTCTATAGAGTGTTGCCGGCACACAGAAATACATACAAGAATCTCATCTCTCTCAAGAAAGTCGAAGTGCTTAGCCGCCTTATAGACAACATTTTTAGTTCTCTACCATGTACCCGAGCATCCCTCTGATTGGTTGAAATGAAATATCTAGAGTTTCTGATTCCTATGACAAACCCTTATAATCTTGACATTTCTACTACTACACCAAGGAAAGAAAAGAAAACGAGAAGAAAACAAGGAGCAATGTTATGTTTATACCTCGTATCCATTTCCCATCAGTATAACACCCAAGTCTTTAACTGATGCTCTAGGCAGAGTGTCTGCATATTCTTGCTTACGAATTGTCTCTGCCGAGTTTAAGAAAGACCATCTGCAGATTTAACCAATTATTTTTAGCCTCAGTTTTGCTTAAGGACCCCAAGAAGAAGAAGAAAAATCACATCTAGGTGAACTCAAAAGCAGACCTTCTTGCTACCTTCACAAGGGGAATCTGTGTTGTGTATGTGCAAGCCATCAATGATGCTCCCAGTAGAGTCAATGTTCCGAGAAAGACCGGTGATGAGAACATATGATCAAAGCCAAGGGTAAGAACCCATCTCCAAGAGAAAAAACCCAGGAAAGGATGATCGTCGGGAAACTTTTGAAAGTAGTAATCAGGAGCCTCACCTTGGTCAATGAAAGTTCCTTCAGGGGGACAAATAGAAACGACAAATCCACAGTTATTGAACAATACACAAATTGAGAGGAACAAATAAATAGGAAAAAGAGATCAGGATGGTTGATTTAAGACGTTACGAAAAGTTTATAGTCAAATTTAACATTTGAATAAGAACACTTATTGGACAACAATTACACCATACTGCATCATCCGCAACTACTCAGGTCCTACCACTCATAAGTTAACACAGACTATAAAATTTGGTTCATATTAGATTTCAGAGGAAAAAGCTACTGGTATGCTAAGATTTCCAGGATTACAATAATTTCACCATACTACATTTGAGTTGGAATCTCTCTTCTTTATTTATAATAAGTGAAACGGACTTGGGATCTCACAAGAGCAAGATATCTTTTGTGGATTTTGTAGCAAAGGTGAGATAGGATGAGAACTCCAAATTGAAATCCGATCAGAACATGAATGTGCCTATACGGCTATACTGCATGTTTTGCAGCAATAGATGAGCAATTAGAACACCTACTGCTAATAATTAAGGATAAAAAGTGCAAAGCCAAAACAAAGACAAACTGAGCAAAATTAGCTACGATAAAAGCTTATACATGGGAACATATGAATCACTATATAAATTATCAAGGATAAGATGCAATTGGGTAAATTTTCTACAGAATCAGCACAATCGCATAATTACCATTTGTGCCTCTATCAAAATATGTATATAGCACACATGGGCGTATCCAATGAACAAGCTATTGGTTCATCAGAACCCATAACTTTTGGCTTAGACCATGTATACGTATTGAAAAATTCACTATATATGTACAAATAATAGATTTTGAACCCAGTAAATTGGATGGAGGTGATAGAATTATGCATTTAAACCCATAAAGTTCAAATTCTGGATCCGCTTTTGATAGCACATATGCAATGAAATACACTAGATTTATCAATCAATTACGCCTCAATTCCGAACCAGTTGGGGTCGACTATATAAATCCTCTACATCTATTCCGCTTGTCCGGCACATTTCACTAAATTTTACTAGTAAATAAGTTGTCTTTTAAGGCAAATTAGGAAACTGGCATGTAAGTCTTAATCAGTATCATAATTTATCTAGGTATTAAGTGTACCTCAATAAACTATCAGACATTTTCACACCTACATTTGCAGATATGTAACTATACACTGAAATAAAGAAGCATTTCAGTTTTAAGTCTCGGCTGAAATTTTACCTAAGGCCATTAACCCAGCAACAGCAAACATCTCAGCAATAGCCAAAGGCAAATTTGACAAAATTCCCAACACTTTTCTAGGCAATTTCTTGAACATTCCTGAACCAGAAACACTATTTTTCTGCTCCATTTTCTTTTCAACATTTCCTATAGACCCTTCTTCTGCTTCAATAATTGGCGGCGCACTATCAGAATCAGGCACTGTAATCTGACCAGAAACGCTTTTTTCATTGTTGGTTTCCGTTCCTTTAACTGTTTTAACTTTGAGCTTACATGTAAGAGTAAAGGAAAAAGTGCGGCCACCTTTGTTGTTGTACACACCAAGAGTTCGAGAATTGTGGATAAGAGGACAGGGTTTGAGATTTAAGGGATGAATTTGGCTTTGCATGTATGCCATTGTTGATGGTTTAGTTGAAATTTTTAGAGTCGCCATTGAAATTGTGAAGAGATTAGAGGTTTGGTTCAGTCCATATGTATGGAGGGGTAACCACCGGGTTCGTTAGTTTATATCCACAAAGGTGTGCAGGAGATCTAAATTGTACTTCAACTGTTATAGTATTAGATATTTTTCAAAAAATATAAGAGAAATGTATATTTTTAACGACTTCCCAATAAGATATTATATATATATAT